ACCTCATTATAAACTGACATGCACACTACTAACTTAAAATAACCTCGGGTCATTTGACTTCAATTTGTTATTTAATACTCCGCTGCTTTTTTATTATACAACGTATCAGATATCTCTATCAAATTATCTTCGTATCTTCATCGAGGCTTATTTCATACACTTTTTATCATTTTACACCTTCAGACCGCGATGTCTAATACAAACAATAAGCAAACTCCTCAGACTGGCAAATTGTTTCAGTTCAAGCTTGTTTTGTTAGGTATGAAAAATCAGTGGCACAGTTGAGGAATGGACGGCGATCACCTGAACACCCCTAGATTCACCGTTTGAGCTTTCGTGTGGTACCTTCCTGAGTGTTGTTCTAACATACTTTCATTTTATCTTTTCAATTACGTTGGTTTCTTTTTACTCCATTTAGGAGAATCGGCAGTCGGCAAATCAAGGTTTGTCCACGAGGCTTTTTTTTTTTATCTTTTACATATTACGCTCTGGACCTTCCCAAAAAACGATGCTCCAAATGAAGAGGAGCAAGATCCCTTGTATCGGGACAGTTTGATCGACTGAACAAAAAGTTACCAAAGGCTGGATTTAATGATTTCATACCGACCCAGTCCAAGTTGCGGCTTTTGAGACTATCTAAATAAAAATATATATATTTCTTGCATCATTTCTAATTATTATAACGCATGACAGTTTAGTATTACGCTTCGTCAAGGATCAATTCAGTGATTACAGGGAAAGCACCATTGGAGGTGAGGGAAGGACCTTTGATTTTCGTTGTCAGAAAATTGTAAAATTTTAATCATGATTTCTTTGTTCGGTTCTTAAGCTGCATTCCTAACGCAAACAATTAGCTTGGATGATAGTACAACGGTTAAATTTGAAATCTGGTAAGTGTACTATTTTCCGGATGTTCTAAAAATTGTTTTAACACGTATGCTGTATCATCTTAATTAATAGGGATACGGCTGGTCAAGAACGTTACAAGGTGAAATGGTTTAACGAACACATTATTTTATTTACACATGTGTCAAATAGTTGACTTAGGTAATTGTTGCATTCTACACGAGATAGAGTTTGGCACCGATGTATTATAGAAACGCGAATTGCGCCGTGGTAGTTTATGATATAACCCAAGCTGTTAGTATTACGTTTTAATTTTTCAACACGCGAATCGTCCGATCGTTGATGATTAATTATGTGGTTTCTCTAGTCCTCTCTGGACAAGGCTAAATCGTGGGTGAAAGAGTTGCAGCGACAAGCAGATC